GACCAATACACTCCATATCTCTATATGGAAATATAACATTAATTCCTCCCCAATATGTACAGTTTAATATGTGCCAATAAGTAAATCAATTTTAAAAGCATTACATATGCAAAGATGAATAAAATCAATTTTTTCTCTCTCCTTTAGGAGCACGTGTTAAGGTCTGTAAACAAGTCAAAATAACACCTGGTATTTTGCCAGGGAAATGTTTGTAAACAAGTCTGGATGGTGCCTGGCAAAATGCCAGAGGGAGTGGTTTGAAAAGTAACAAAAGTGAGCCATTAAGTGTTGAGATTCCTTATTGGTTGACTGATGTATCTAGATTATGCTAATTAAGATAAGCTGTGCAAAATGTATAAATAGCTCTGTTGTCCTACAATAAACGGCTTCCATTCCTGCTGCATCAACGTACACAAGTTATTCGTCACCACCCCCCCCCCTTCCCCATTATTCTGCTGCAGCCGGACTGCGGCAAGCACGCACAGAATTCTGCAACCCTAGAGCTCCACCTAGAAAGAGAACAAGGTTGGGGAATAATTTCCCAGTTTGGAAAGCCTCGAAGAGACCAGAACCCAATCTAGTTTATTATGGCTGCTGAGCAGAGTTCTTAAAGGCAAGAAATGACTTCCACATGGATAGGATTGGAGACTTCTGTCTAAGCACCTGTCTGGTCTTGGCAGCCCCACGCTGCTGCAGATGAGGTCCTTGTCCCAGTAGATTAGTAGATGCAAAAGAACAGAAGGGAAGAAGAACCTGTGGGAGGCCATATGTGCCCCTCAGGGGCATTCCCACAGCCTGCTCCTGCCTTCTTGGTCTCTGAAACCCATTTCTGTTTCTGATCCACTGTCCTGTGCTGCCATCCCCACCCAGGAGCCCTGCAGAGTCACACCTTCCTCGTTTGAGTTGGAAAGGCACAAGGTGGAGTGGTGCCCAGATCTTGAGCCTGGACTATGCCTTGGTGTAGGGACACTGTGCCTCTCCTAGACATTTAAGATGTTTTTCAAATTAAATCAACATTATTTGGTCTATAATTACATAATGATATTTATCTTAATTGGTTTTATGGATTGTGAGGGAATATTTTTCAATGACATTTTATCTCCTCTTCAAAAAAAGAAAAAAAATCAGTAGTCATTTCATGAATTTATTCAGTTAAGTAGGAGAGCAAAACACTCAATGAATGGGAAAACATAAGCCCCTTTTTTGTCCATTTGCCTTTAGGTTAAGCCCTGACTTTTGCCTTCACATTCTCAACTTACCTGTTACCAGCACTAGCTTCTTCTTTGGGCCCTGGCTACAATCCTATCCCTATCTTTCAGAATCCCTTAAGTGAGTTCATGCCACATCTATCATTGAAAGTACATAATTTGTTATGGAGAATTGAGTTTTCCCCATTTATCTTGTTTTATTTAGAGTGAGAAAACTAGAGGGCCATCATGAAAGGCAGAGGGTGGAACATGACAAAAGAGCCCCTCTCAAGAATGGACTTACTTCCATGCTGAGGATCCAAGGTGGCTGCATCCCTGCTCTATGTATGCCCTGTCCAGTCACCTGCCCTTTGCCACTGTGGAGCTCTGGACTGTTCTGATGCTGAATGCCCTTAACTGTCTGTGCCCCACCAAATAGAGGACAAGGACTTTGGGTTACTTCTCCCAACTTTGCCCCCTTTCAGCAGAAAGTAGCTTGGAGATGTCATTGCCCAGTTTCCATAGAAATGGAGGCTAGAAATTGACAGTGGGGAAATGTAACAGGGGTTCATTTGATGCTTTGACTATATCCCTTGGGGCTTTGAAACTTACATGCTTTTTTTTTTTTCTTTTGCCCAATCTTTTTCTCCCTGATCTTCTCCCTAACCTTCTTTTCCCTGATTTTCTCCTTCCTGATCTCTCCTCCCTAATCTCATTTTCTCTGAATCACCTCTATAAAACCTCCTGTTCCTGCTGATGGGCAGGATCACAGCCTTTGGGACAGGAGTCTCCTATGTTTCTCCTTTGCTAGCAAAGCAATAAACCTTTTCCTTTTTTCTTGAATGCATTTGGATAAATGGACTCTACTCTTTTCCTGCCATTAGATGTGAAAAGACAAAGACTCTTGATCTCCCATTGCTAATTACTGTTCTAGTTTTATGAAAAGGTGTTTTAGAAAATAGAGAAAAATATTTAAAGCCATAAAGTAGGAGACTGTGATGAATCATAAAAGGTATCTTAATCACTAAAGTCCACTGAAATTAAAATGATGTTACTGAGATGTAAGTTTTCACTGCCTAAAATAAAACTTTATTTCCCAACACCATCAAAACCCCCAAGTATATCCAAACATTTGAAAGGACGATGTTGGAGCACCAGGGTACTGATAACAAGCGTTTCTGACTGATCCAAAGGATAATCAAGAGCGCAGAGATTTGTTTATACTCCCCTGCCTAATGGCACATAGAAATCACAGCTCTTCATATCTCACCATGCAGAGATGGACTCTTCTCTTTTCTACAGTGGTGGCTGGTGTGCTGCAGCAGCCAACAGCAGGATCTGGTTTGTGAAAAGAAAACAGAAAAGGCTCTGCCCTGTAGGCGCAGGTCGTGTTGGCTGTGGTTTTTAGTCTACTAGTACTGGTGGTGTGGTCCCTTTCTGTGGGCTTCACCCGAGGAGGGCTGGTTAGAATTGATGGTTAGAACTGCACTTCACTCGAGGAGGGCTGGTTAGAATTGATGGTTAGAACTGCACTTCCACCCACTGAATCAGAATCTCTTTTTAAAGTATAGGTTGGTGATTCCTTTTCGCATTAGAGTTTGAAGAGCACTCTGCAAATTGGGTCCTGGGAGTTCGGAAACGATTTTCCAAGGGTGAGAGGTGAGGGGAACCTCACTCAGTACCTCTAAAGCAGATGGCATCTTTGCTGCTCCGCCCAGAATGATTCTGCAAGCCACAGTGCAGCCCTCTGCTCAGTAGCTACCCAACTTCCCTTTAGACTGGGGCCAAGTGAAGACAGCGTTGCCTCTCCTGGAGACACAGTAATCTCAGGCGACTGTGCCTGAAGTACAAAGAGGCGACCATGTTCGCAGTTCCGGAGGCTGCGGAAGACCAGGATCGCATCTAAGATCTAGGAAAGCTGTGCTCCTCCTGCCCCAGCCCAGAGGCAGTCGGGAAAATCTGTGGTCCCAGCTCAACCACCACAACTATGTGGCTTGGGCAGAGCCCTAGGACCATCTCCTGCAACCACGTTGCACAGGGCCTGCCTTCGACCTGAGGGCAGGCTTCCTCCCTGCCTCTAGGCACACAGCCAACTGGAAGTTTCTGCACAGGACCCTCTTCCTTTTTCTCCCTGTTGGCCCTGTCTCTCCTTTCTCCATATGAGAACAGTTACCTTTTTGTCATTGGGAATTATTAGGGGACCAACTGTCCATGATATTCATACTTAAATTGGAATCCTTTGCTTCTTGGTCAGATTTAAAATTTGAATCTGGAGGCAGATAGATCCTTGTGTGAAAATAAAAATTTTTAATATGAACGAATGTCAGGTTTTTGTTTGTTTGTTGTGGTACTTGTCCTAACAGGGAATGTGGTGCTCTACCACTGAGCTACACATCTTGTTCCCTACTCCTTTTTAATATTGAGGCAAGGCCTATGTCTCCCAGGCTGACCTAGAACTTGCCATCCTCCTGCTTCACTACTTCTAGCAGCTGGGATTACAGGCCTGTGTGCCACTGTAATAAATGTCTTTTACATAATTCACATGTTATTTTCACTTCAGACCAAGGAATTTCTATAACTCTCAGCTTTATTTATATCTGCAAGTTTATGACACAAACAAACCAAAACCAAAATGTTCAGCATGGATTTTCTACCATGTGCTTTTCAAATAGCTGAGGGGCAGCGATTAGACGATTAGTTCTCTTATCAGGATTGTCTGTATTCATCCATTCATACACACCAACAAATCACTTAACAGCACTGTGATAATTACTAAGGAAAAAGTGGAACACTCCACACCTAGAGTTCTGCCCTCAGGTTGCTTACTCTCTCACCTACCACCATCTCTTGAAATTTTTATTTCTTGTAAGGGATCAGAATCTCCTTTGGAGTCCTTTTTTCTGTTGGCTACATTGGCATCAGAAGATGATGTTATATCCACAGGTTCTTGTTATATATTATCCTATCTGGCTCCCCATTCATTACCTCATTTCTAACATAAAAATCAAGGTATGGAAGGAAGCTGGGAATGAGGTGAGGCACTGGAGTTAAATGAGGTCATTAGGGCTGCGGTCCTAGTGATGGAACTCAGCTGCAGCAGTTTTTTATTCTTTATCAAAAAGCAGAGAGGGGAGTGAGCTGAGATGCAAGAGCAAGTTGGGAGCTGTGATCAGCACCATTCTCCCAGTCCTTGGCCATCTTAACAGTGTGTGTATTGGGGCGAGGGGAACTTAATTAAGCCTAATGAGGATGTGTGGGGCTGGGGTGGAGGAGGCAGCCAGGGACTGTATTGACTCCAGGCTTGTCTCCAACCTGGATGGTTTGAGAACATAGGGAGAGAAGCTAACCTTGTAGGAGAGTTGTGGGAACTTCTGGGAAAAGGAACACAGGAAACAATAGTAGAAAAATAGAAATCTGGAAAACATGGTGGGAGTAAAGAGATTCAGAACACATTACATTTCCCTAGAGCAGTGTTCTCAACCCTTCCTAGCATCAGAATCATTTGGGAAACTGAAGAACAAGAAAAAACAACCCCAAAGCCCCAGAAAGTTCAAAACTTAAGACATTAGTTGGGGTGAGAGTTGTAGTATTTTGGATAAATTTTAATTAACTCCTGTGAGCACATTTTCTCACTTGATACACTAGGGTTGCAGATTTCTTCCTACTGAGGGTTAAATGACAGCATATGCAAGAAAGTTCCCGCATTCAATTATGACTCAGTGAAAAACTGAATGCTAGCACAGCAGCCTGAATCCAACACTTACTACAGGGTTGTGTTATTATATAGATTTACTACTGGCTCATATACCAGTGACTTGAACTCTGCCATTTATTTTCATATGCTGGAGAGAAGCAGACCCTGCACCCTGGCATCTGCTTCTTGGCCCCAATGGTGATGATGCTGTCACCTTGTTTTTCAAGGGTTAATCCAAAGGCTTCCACAGATTCCATGAGTTCTAGAAGCTTCAGCTGAGAAACTGCTATTGGTATCTTGGAACCTGGTGGAGTTCATTTCCTCTGGCCCATGCGACAGAGGCTCCTCCTGGCAGTACAGGTGTTTCGTAAGCAGGTGGGCGGCCTTAGTAAAGGAGCAGAAGGCCTCAGGTAAGTGGGGAGTGGACCACAGCCACAGGTGCACCATCCCAGAGAAGATGAAACCCGCCTTTCGGATACAGTGGCCCCAGGAGATGAAGGGACTGTGTTCAGTGTGGGTGCCTGTGCTAACAGCCTCAGGGCCCTGGGTCTTCAGGTGCAAACCTGGGCAGCAGCGCGGGCTTTGCCCCTGCACCCGCCTCCTTTCTAAGAGCAGCTCTTTAAGCTGTTTTCTCCACTCTGATGCCTGGTGCAACCGGGTTTTTCCCCCACAGGGGCCCAAGGAGGCTTCAGCAGCGCCCTTCAGTAGCTAAAGGAAAAGAGAAAGGACTCCTTTGGGCGTGCTTAGCGCTTTCCTGGCAAAAGCAGTGCGGGGTTTCCGACCTTCTGATGCCACCTAGTGGGAAGCTAACGTCAAAGCACCGGGAGGCCAGAGGCAGTGTGAAGCAGGTGAAGCCCACCAGGAATGTGGATTTTCTAAGTGGGGTGATTGTCGCTCAGCCTGATGACAATTTCCAACTGAAACAAAGTTCTGAGGGATCTTAAAATAGTTGCCTTCTTCCTCACCATCATTTCCTTCATCTTTCCAATGCAAGCATGTAGGGCTCTGACCATGGATGGGAAATAAACATTCAGGTAGTGTAATAGAGGATGCTCTAGGAGGAAAGTTCACTGTAAAACTAATCAGTCTAATAAAGTTAATGAACCCTCAGAACTTCTGAGAAAGCCCCTAGCCATGTGTTCTTGTAACTTGCACACTTAATGTTTTTCAGTCTTTTTAAAATAGATTTCTTCTCTAACCTTCCCCCAATTACATGAACTTCCTCCTCCACAAAATCTGGATACACCCCTAGCTGGACTGGTGAAGTGTACCTGGGAATTTCAAAGGATATGGCTGTCAAAGAGGTGCTAGGGAGAGAAGAAATAGCAAGAAGAAACTGGAAAAACCTGATGGGAAGGAGGAGGACTGGGTTGGCTTTGGGCTAAAACTCAGAGCTTAGTAAGACCTGAGAAATTGCCCTGTGCCTCAGGGTCTCCTTTCTCTCTCTTCCTGTTTCTGGATTTGCCCACTTGATCTCCTTATGCCTATCCAGGGCCACCACAATGGCGCCCTCATGGGTAATGTTGAGTTGCAAGAGATTTGGTTGGTGGCCCAGAGAAAGTAACCTGGTGACAAGGTTATTGTTTTCATTTCTTATTTATTTATTTATTTTTGATACTAGGAATTGAACTCAGGGGCACTCCACCATTGAGCCACATCCCAGCCTTGTTTTGCATTTTATTTAGAGATAAGGACTCACTGAATTGCTTAGCACCTCACTTTTCTGAGGCTGGCTTTGAGCTCATGGCCTCCTGCCTCAGCCTCCTGAGCTGCTGGGATTATAGATGTGCACCACTGTGCCTGGCTAATTTCCTCTTTTTTGACTTAAAATATTTATTACAAACATTTAGTAACCTTTAATAAATTAAGCTCAACAAAGTCAAAATCTTTCTTCTCAAATCTGCAAACTTTAGAATTTAAATATATATATATATATATATATATATATATATATATATATATACTTTATTATATATCGTGTTATTTGTCTTTTGTTACTTACTATGCTTTCTCCAAGAATAATGCCAGTTTTAACTTATCTCTTGTATTTGATCAACAGATGTAGACAGTTCAATAAGGTTAAATGCATCAATTTTTTCAATGACATTTACTTTATAATGTCTGAATTTGTTTAGGAAATTTTGTCTGCTTGGGCGTGGTGGTGCATGCCTGTAATCCCATCAGCTCAAGTGGCTGAGGCAGGGGAATAGAGAGTTCAAAGCTAGCCTCAGCAATTTAACAAGGCCCTGTTCAACTTAGTGAGACCCTGTCTCTAAATAAAATACAAAAAAAGGCTCGGGATGTGGCTCAGTGGTTGAGGGCTCTGGATTCACTCCCCAGTACAAAAAAAGAAAAAAAGAAAAAAAAAAGAAATTCTCTCTGATTGCAATGTCATAGATATTCTGTATTGTATTAAAATTTAAATTTTCATATTTAGGTCCTTATTTATGGATTATATTACTTTGGGGTATGAAGTAGAGATGTTCACAATTTCATCTCTATATGAAAATTACAGATCCTACTATTATTTCACTTATTGATATGAAATGTCTCCATTGTTCTATAATTGATAAACTCTTTTGAAACCAAATTATATCAGGATCAATCTATATTTTTATGTTTAAAGGGGGGGTATTGAGATGAATTCTAGCTGGTGTTTGCCAATGATGTAAACTGAACTCTGATTCTCTGGATTTTGGAATGGGAGCCCTGAGATGACTCAGATGTATGAAAAGGTTCTCTTTGTGTCTTAACATGTAATACTATATGTACATGCATCATAAATGCTGATATTTAAAAATATCATTATTTTTCAAGTATGAAGAGAACTATGGAATGTTGCCAGAATCTTATGGTCTGGTGGAGGTATTTTGGCTTTGAGTTGAAACTGAGTTCATTCTTCAGGATGCCCAGCTGCTTATTAGTTGTGGGACTTTGATCACAGGAAGAAACAGATATCATAGCCTGGCCTAAGGTCTAAGGCCAAACTGCCAATGCAAAGTTTGCTTTAAATGCAGTAGAGTTAAGGCTGTGGACATATTGAAGGGTGTGTGTCCCCCACATTTGGGACCTTATTTGCCTTTGTTTGCTCTCTAACATCTGCTTGGGAAAGAACCATGACTAATATCTAGTGGACTTATGCCCTCTATGGCTCTGCCCCTACGTAGTCCTGGCTGGGTGCCCAAGTGCCTCTACAGGCTTCTGCCCCCTATGTTTACAGCAGGATCAACTGCCTGAGCATAACCATCCTCTGGACTGGGTGATACTAGAGACTGGGGGATGCCCCACCTCTATCCTCACCTTCTACACCTCACCATGGGTGGATCCTTATTCATTCCCTCTCATCCTCTAGGCTTCCTCCTGGCTAACTGGGTTTCTCTCATATCCTGGACCTAACCCCCCGCGCCAAACTTATCCATTTGTGCAATGAGAACTGGCCTCAATATCCTTTGGCTAACAACTGTGAATGGCTGTTCAACGACACTCTAGAGCCCAGTATTATCAGGGATCTTTTCAACTATTGTGAGCATTCGGGAAAATGGAAAGAGATGTTATATGTTCAGATCTTCTCCTCTCTTCTAAGTCCTCTTCTGCAACTCTTGCTCTCCCACACAAGTCCTCTTAGCTCTCACTTCCCCTTTCTTTCTAATGAAGCTGCCACAGCCCTGTCCCCTTGGCCCTCTGCCCTTCTCTTCTCCTGCCCCATGCTCACAGGCTGCCGCTGTCCCACCCATATCTCTGTGTCCCTCTCAAGGTGGCTGGAATCAATGTGTAATCTGGGTTCATGTTCCTTTCTCTTTGTCAGATCTTCCACAGTTAGAAGAGTGGCTCAGGTCCTATACTTCAAGTTCCACCACATATATGCCTTATGATCTTGTCTAACACCCTCCTGCCCGAGGAGCAAGCTAGAAATTATGCTGATGGGGAACATGAGACCTTCCTGAAGCCATGCCTGATTGAAACCCCAACTGGGATTATAATTTGCCTGGAGAAGTAACTAGTAAAAAACCAATTCATTACTTGCCTCATGGCAGGACTTAGAAAGGCAGCCCATAAGGCTATCAATTATGAAAAGCTCCAGGAAGTCATCCAAGATAAAAATGAAAACACTTCAGCATTTTTAGGTCGCCTGATGAAGGCTTTATTTCAAGATACTAATCTGGCCTCTGAGACTCCAGATGGGAGACAACTACTAATGACCTACTTTTTCTCCCAAAGTGTCCCCAATATTAAGGCCAAACAAAGGTGCCTCAAAATGGGGGCCCTTAAACTCCCCAAGATAAGGTTCTCAGAGTGGCCTTTAATGTGTATAACAGGAGAGATGAGAAGGCCTGGAAGCAAAAATATCAGGTGCTCCCTCAAGCCATCCATCCGACCTCAGCATGTGTCTCTGGTTCCTCTGGCCCATGGAAGGGTCTCTCGGGATGGCCCAGACCCTGTTTTAAATGTGATCAGACAGGTCACTGGGCACATACATGTCCTAAGCCTTGCAAGCCTCCGGGCCTTTGTCCTAAATGCCCCCGGCCATCCAGCCCTACTGGTTCCCCTTTCCAACTCTTAGGACTGGCTACAGAGGACTGACAAGACCCAAGTCCTCATCACCTGACCACTACCATCACTCTGTGGGAACCCAGAGTAACTCTGCATATTTCAGGTAGGCCTGTCTCCTTTCTCTTCGACACAGGGCTACATATTCAGTTTTCAAGGAGTTGTGAGGGCCTACCACTCATTCTACGACCTCTATTGTTCAGGTAGAGGGCAAACCATACCAGTCCTTGCAAACATCTAGCTTTGTCTGGGCCTTTGGCTCTCTAGTTTTCACCCATGCCTTTTGGTCATTCCATAGTGCCCTGTTCCCCTTATGGGTAGGGACATCCTTACAAAGTTGAGAGCTACGCTTTCCTTCTCCCCTCATATTTACTTCCATCCAGATTTGCCTGCCGCTCCCCTGATCCTCACCCTTACCTTAGGACCATCTCCTGTTCCATCTGCCAGTGCCTTCCCATTACCCCCTTCTGAGGTGGCCCCTTCTGTCTGGGATGTTTCAAGACCTTCTATTGCCTCACACCATGAGCCTGTTCACATTCATCTCAAAACTTTTTGCAGAGTAGCCTTGATCACATCCTCCCATCAGTCTTGCTCTCCCCTCTGGGAATTTGAGCTGCTTTGGAATCCTGGCGTGAGGGCCCAGGACAATTACCACACACCTTCTTCCATTCACCTAGCACTGTTTTTCTTCACCCACACTTGGCCTCATTTGGGTACAAGTCTCCTCTCTAGAACTTAGCTCTTGGCCCAGCACCAAGGTTCTAGCCCATTCTTCTGTTGTGTATGTGGGAGACTCCCCACTGAAGTAAAGTTTCTGTCTCATGAGAACATCACAGAACATGACGGAATCCCTTACCCCGCCCTCTCCTCTCTGAAGGGTGCCAAGCTGAAAAGCGCCAAATTCAAAAGTTTTCTTGACCAATCCCTGCAGGACCCAGTGTCAGCTCACGGTTCCTGAGTCACCCTGCCAATCAGCACCCACCACGTCGCCTGCGCAACCCTTCTTAAGCCGAAGTTTGCAAGCTCACCCTCTGCCTTCTTCCTTTGCTCTCTGTTCTCTTCCTCTTCTTTCTATCTTCTCTTTACTCTTTTTCTCTTTCTCTCAGCTCTCTTTCTCTCTGCCTCTCCTTTTCTTCCCCTTCAGGCAGCCCCCCAATAAAATCTCTTGGTTGAATCTCCACCTCAGGTGAGTCCCTCGCCTTTCACCTTCCCCTTGGTGAGTTCACTCTTTGGTCTTGGTTCTCAGCTCCTCAGCAGAGCTCATGAAAGCCCTGGCCAGGCAACCAAGACTCTCTACAGGCAAAGCCCAGGACTAGGGAAGTAGCAGGTGACTCCCTCTCTCAGTCCCAGACTCCAGCTTGCCGTGGGGAACTCCCAAATCCCATCTGATTCATGGCTACTTTCTTGCCCACCTAGCCCCACTCCATTTGGCTCCTGACCAATTCAACCTTCCAATCTTCACAACTTTTGCTACCATTCAGAAAAATGCAAGAAAATCCCTTATGTGCAGGCTTTCTCCTTTCTCCATTCAGAGCCTTCCCTTTGCGCCTCTTGCTCCCCTCCTCAGCTTCTACCTGCCACTAAAACTCTAGATTCCTCCAGGGACCCTATTTCTAGACAAACAAAGGACCTAGAATTCTCTTACATTGTAAAGCCCTAGGCAACAATATCCCTGGCCAAGGCTGCACTGAAGCTAACACTGAAATACAAGGGACAGACTCAGTAGGCTCAATAGGAGGCCTGAGGGGGAAAAAAAAAACTGTTTTACTTAACTGTTGCCTATCAACCTTGGCCACAGCCTCTCTACTCATTAACAAGTCAAAGAAACTCACCTTTGGGCCTCACTCACCATCATAGTTCCCCATCACCTAAAGGAACTGCTCATCTACAAAGGCTTACATTCCTCACCCCCCAGTTGCCTTTTATCTCTACAGGTTCCCCTAGTGGAAGATCCTAGTCTTACTTTCCACAGTGTGTGTTCACCTTTAAACCCTGCTACTCTCCTCCCCGCTCCTCAGGGCTCTTCCACCTCTTCTCCTCTTACCCATTCATGCATTGAAACTCTGGAGGAGTTTCTTGCACATTTCTCCCACATACAGGAAGACCTCGTGCTCCAGGCAACACACACAGGGTTCCCAGATGGCTCCTCCTTCCTTCAGGAGGGAGTTCACTTGGCAGGCTGTGCAACAGTCTCTCTAACCTTGGTTTGTTGTGGAAGCAGCTCTCCTCCCAAAAAACACATCCAATCAGCAGGCTGAACTTGTTGCCCTTGTCAGAGCCTTCACTTTGGCAAAGGGAGCCTCCCTCATTGTTTACACTCACTCTAAGTCCGCTTTCCACATACTTCTCTCCCAAGTTGCTATATGGAAGGAGCACAGATTCCTTACCACCAAGGGAACTTCAATTACTAATGCCCCCTTTATCTCCGATCTCCTTCAGGCCTCAAAGCTTCCCACTGCCATTGGAACTGAAGGATGGCAGCTAAGTAACCCCCTTCTCCAGTGGGCTCTTCCTTCCTGACCTCTCTCCTTGTCATAGGTCTTTTACTAATGATTGGCCCCTGTGTCATTAGATTTATTCAAGACCATATTCAAAGGGTCTCTAACCAAACCATGAACCAGCTTCTGTTACAGGACTTTTAACCTCTCTCCAAAATTAGGCTGTCTTTACAATCAATCAACAAGTACATGAAAAAATGCCCACCGTCTCTAGCAGTCAGAGAAATGCAAATCAAAACCACCCTAAGATACCATCTCACTCCAGTAAGATTGGCAGCCATTCTGAAGTCAAACAACAAGTGCTGGCAAGGATGTGGGGAAAAGGGTACTCTTGTACATTGCTGGTGGGACTGCAAATTGATGCGGCCAATTTGGAAAGCAATATGGAGATTCCTGGGAAAGCTGGGAATAGAACCACCATTTGACTCAGCTATTGCCCTTCTCGGACTATTCCCTGAAGACCTTAAAAGAGCATACTACAGGGATACTGCCACATCTATGTTCATAGCAGCACAATTCACAATAGCTAGATTGTGGAACCAACCCAGATGCCCTTCAATAGATGAATGGATAAAAAAAAAAAGTGGCAGTTATACACCCTGGAGTATTATGCAGCACTAAAAAATGACAAAATCATGGAATTTGCAGGGAAATGGATGGCACTAGAGCAGATTATGTTAAGTGAAGCTAACCAATCCCTAAAAAACAAATACCAAATGTCTTCTTTGATATAATGAGAGCAACCAAGAACAGAGCAGGGAGGAAGAGCAGGAGGAAAAGATTAACATTAACAGAGACATGAGGTGGGAGGGAAAGGGAGAGAAAAGGGATATTGCATGGAAATGGAAGGAGACCCTCATTGTTATACAAAATTACATATAAGAGGTTGTGAGAGTAATGGAAAAATAAACAAGGAGAGAAATGAATTACAGTAGATGGGGTAGAGAGAGAAGATGGGAGGGGAGGGGAGGGGGGATAGTAGAGGATAGGAAAGGTAGCAGAATACAACAGTCACTAATATGGCATTATGTAAAAATGTGGATGTGTAACAGATGTGATTCTGCAATCTTTATTTGGGGGTAAAATGGGAGTTCATAACCCACTTGAATCTAATGTATGAAATATGATATGTCAAGAGCTTTGTAATGTTTTGAACAACCAATAAAAAAAAAGAGAAAAAAAAATTGGGCTGTCCAGAGTCAGCATCGTCCGGCACCTCCTGACCATCACCATTGCCTCAATGAAACCCTTCACCCCTAACAAGGGTCCAGATGCCACCCCTTCTAGCCAGGAAGAAGCTACAAAAGGTTGATCTATGACCCTCTTTCTTAAGGGGCCCAATAACAAACAAAAATGGGGGGAATGTAAGGTCCTTGCTTAGCATCTATATGGTCATTTTAAGTGACAGCTGCCATCTTAAGAAACATTTTCACCTTCGACCCAAAGGCCTTTTGAGAAAGGCTGAGCACTCCCTCATTCCAATCCCATCCTTAACTGTCCACATTAGAACCCACCTGGCTCTAACCCCTAAGCCACCCCCATAAAAGTCTCTAACCCCAAGCCTGCGTTGCCTCTCACCCTCGGTGGAGAGATGGACTTTGACAGCTCTGACAAATAAACTCTGTGTGTATCTCTGCCTGATCTCGGTCTTTCATTTCTCACTCACCTGTCGCCCGGTTCCTTGCTTTCCTTTCAGTGTCAATGTATGCTCAGATGATTTTATTAGCACAATATGTCATTTGTGAATGGAACAGAGACTGCCAGATATGTCTTTCATCCTGGGCATACTACTCTCTTATATTTATCAAGCTGCCTTGGAGTTAGTTCTGATCATATGATTAAGCTTTCTTACACCGAAAATGAGTGGAAGTAACATGTGCCACTGCCAGGAATATGCATACCAAAATTCCATTGTTTTCATGCTATTTTTTTCTAGCTTTCTGGTATATTTTAACTCAAGGTATCCAACAGAGCTCAATGCTCATGATGATAAAGTTTCCTTCCATTCCAGTCTATGAATTGTAAATTAAACCATGGAAAAAGATATATCATTTCTACCTGCTTCTATATTCTAAATTTTGACTTCAGAGATTCCTCATGATAGTGACTATTGTCTCCGTTGCTGCTATGAAGTCATTGTGTACATTTCTAGATACAAATAATCTCACTAGGTGTATAATAGGTAGTCAATTATGGTAGATATAAATATTTATCTTTTTCCTGGCCTACTTACGTGTTTTATGTGTTCATATCCACATGGATGTGAATAGGTATATGTTCTTGGCATGTCTCAGTTTATACTCAGTAGCATCTTGAATACATATTAATTTTACTGAAGGTGCCAAAGACAGATTTGCTCTCCATTTCTCTCCAAATGACCATTAGGAAACACACAAGTCCAAAATATCATTGAAAATATCAGATCATCCTCAGAAGTTTTTGCAGGAAATATCAGATTGTGTTCAGAAATATGAGCTACAATTTTGTATTCTGGGGTTGGCTCCAATATGTCTCCTACCACCACTGAAGGATACTGTTACAAAAGTGTGATCTGTTTAAACTTAATCTGTATATTTACCACCATTATCTCATTTCCCTTAAAAAGCCAAATCTTATCTCAATTTATCCATCATAGCTAAACAATGTTTGTGTGTTTTTCCCTTTTTTTCTTTACATTTCACATAGGTTCTCCAGGTTTCTATCTTAGAGTCTGTAACAAAACAGTTTTTACTCCTGAGTATATAAAGTTTATAGAATTTCATAGACATCCCTGCATGGCCAGTTTTAAATTGTTTAAATTTCTCTCAGGATTTTCCTCATCCATATGAGCCACTTTCATCTTCACTAAAAGGAAAAATTTCTATTAAAATATATATGATATTATTTTCCCTCAGTTTAATTAGAGTCTTACGAAAGATCATTGACAGATAAACTCTGACTTGTGTAGGTGACCAGGATCCAAAGCCCCAAATACAAAACTGGATCATTGAATGTTTTCTTTACTATCAAAAAACATTTGCCTTCAGGATAATCTCATACACCCCCAGATCCATAGGCAGTAGAATAATACTGCTTTCTCCTTTTTTTTTCCTCTTTCTGTCACTTTTCTTGCTTTTTTAATCCCTCATCTCCTCCTTTTCTACTGACTAAAAAAAAAGTTATTTCTCCTTTTTTGAAGGAAGTTCCTGATTACCTTAGGTCTGGAGAATATGCCAACACATAACGCTTGACTTATTAGCAGATTGGGGAATGAGTATCTTTCCAGATATTACCTCTTTTGCCTTCTTTTCATGGTTCAACTCTTTGGAGGTTTATTCAGATAAGGTAAATTTCTCTCAGAAGCTCAATTCTCCAAAATTTAGCTGATGATGACTAAGAATGAAATCCACACCTGAAGGAAAAAAAATGGAGTGATGCTATGTGTTCACTAAATCTCTGTACTGAGCAGAGCCCAACAAAATATCACGGTTGTTATGAGATCAACTATCACTAAGGCCTCAACAATGTATTGTGACCTATTGATGACATCACACAGTCCAAGAACCCAGCCAGTATTCATAGGGCTACAGCGTTGATAAAGCTCATCAGCTAATGTGATACATTTTATATAGTGGTGTAAGGGTCCGGCGAAACGTCGGAGTAGAGACCACAAGAGACTCTCTTATGCAACAGCAGAAGGGTGGGTTTATTTGGAGACCAGCATGCTGGGGCTCCCTCTATAGCAAAGAGAGATAGAGCCTTGAGAACCGCTTGAGCAGAGCTTATATACTTTTCTTGGAGAGGGCATGGAGGGAAGTTCATTGATGGGTCAGGGTGAGTGGGCAGTTTGCCTGCAACCGAGTGAGGGAGTGCATCCTGCAGTTTGGCAGTTGGGGACAGCACATTCTGGGAACAAGATTAGCAAAGAGTTCACAGTTGGGGACAACACATCCTGGGAACAAGATTTCAACAGTGTTTTGTTAAGCATATAGAAAAACAGAGTGACAAGTACTTATTTTATTAACCTTTCAGTGGAAACCCTATCATTAACTTGAACTTTCATACTTTGCACTTGATAACAAAAATAAAAGTGACATGAATTAAACAAAGTAAAACCTTTGTCTCTCTGGGACACTGAATTGCTCAATCTCCCCAGTGGTGTGAATATGGCAGTACACAAGAGGGTCAGGCTAAACACCATGTTAGAAAAGTAAAGGCTGTATCTCATAAGTACAATCTTTAGAAACCTAGGTGACAGGCATGCTGAAATGTGGGTGTGAGTCAGGATATCTCATCTGTCCATACACCCCCAAATCCATAAGAAATGGTTATTCTAATTGTATCAGTTTCCTACTGCTTTCATAGAAATTTACCAAAATTTTATCACTTAAAATATAAACATATCATCTTCTAGTCCTGAGGTCAAAAGTCCAGTATGGGACTTGAGGCCTAAAATCAAGGTTTGAGGAGGGCTGCTCCTATCTGGTGTCTCAACTTGAAAAGCTTTCATCCCCCCTCCCACAACAGGTTTCAAAGCTGCTGCAATACTTAGCTGTTGTTCCTGTTCTTCAACAGGCATTAGTCTAATATCTGCTTCCATGGTTACAGGTCCACTCTGATTGTACCTCCTTAGCTGCCTTTCATAAAGGACATTGTGATGGCCTTGGCTGTACCCAGATGATCTAGGAAAATCTTCACTTTTAAAATTCATGACTTCATCTCATCTGTAAAGTCTCTTTTACCATTCAAGGTCACATAAGTTTCATGGATTAGGAGGTGAAAATTTCCAGGGGAACAGTTGAAAGAGAGGGTTCTTTCTTTATCCTGCTATACCAAAATAAAAATCACAGGGTTTCAGAAAGAATTTACCTATATTCAAAATATAGTAGTACGAAAATGGAAACTGGAAATTTAATAAAAGTTTGTAATGAGTGACACAGCAATGATATAAACATGTTGAATAAAACAAAGCAGAATAAAAAGAAACAAACTGCATTTGAAAATCAAAAATTAACAAGAGGAAAAAATGACAATTATAAAATTATTTTTTTCATGCTATAAACTTAGGCAAACATATTTAATAAAAAATTCCAAGACAGATAACACGTCAATGTGAATAAAAGAATATAGAGATTTTTGAGCTCTGGAAAATAGAGATGCTAAACAAGTCCCTAACTGAATATAAAACCTAATTAGAATCTGAAAGAAAGAAAGGAGCATAAAATCTAATATTTGGTAAATAAACTTACATAAAGTAAAGTGAGAAAAAGAAACAAAAATATAATTAATTTAAAGAAAACTTTCTCTCTTTTTTTGTATTAAGAATTGAACCCAAGGGAACTTAAACACTGAGCCACATCCTCAATACTTTTTATATTTTATTTAGAGATAGAGTCTTGATAAATTGCTTAGGGCCTTGCTAAATTGCTGAGTCTGGATTTGAACTTGTGATTCTCCTCTCTTTGCCTTCTGGACTCCTGGGATTATCGACATGCACTATTTTGTCTGACCAAGAAAAATAAATAAATAAAAATAAAAATAAAAAAAAATAAAAACACAAGTCAAAGGATGGAACAAAGTAATAATTATTGTTTCTGAAAAACTTAACTGTGTATTATAACCAGCTCAAAAATAAATGGAAATGTCAAGAAAGAACATGAGTTCAACTTTCAGTGCTAGAAGAGAACTTGCACTAGAATTATCATGGAATGCAGGTAGAAGTGGGACAGGGTGGGAATTGATGGATCCAATTGCATTATAAGTTTTCTAGGAATAGTGTCCCAACTTCAGGTCCTTTAAGCCCTGGTCAGAAATGACCCCTGCAGACTCTTCTTCCAGGTCCTTTAAGCCCTGGTTGCCTAGCACGTGTGAGGAACTGGGTTCGATCCTCAGCACCCCATAAAAATGAATAAATAAAATAAAGGTATTGTGTCCATGTACAGCTAAAAAAAAGTATTAAAAAATAAATAAGTACATTGTTATTGGTTCATGGATATAGATTCATTGAAGTAGATGCATTGATATTGATTCATCAATATTGATTGGTATTGATTTATCAAGATATATTCTTTGAGATCTATTATTCAATATAGTTTCATTGATATCAATTTATCATATAATATTTTATATAGATTCATCAGCATAATATAATTTCTTAATATTGTTTCATCAATATAGACAAATTAATGTAGATTCAATGAGATCTATTCATTGATTTTGATTCATCAATAAGATTTCATCATATCAATTCATCAATGTAGATTGATTGATATCAATTGGTGTATATAGATTCATTGATATAAATTAATATATTTTAGAGATATAAATACACCGATATTGATGTATTAGTTTAGATTCATCAATATATTGATTGATATAGATACATTGATGTCGATTTATCAATACTCTTTTTTAAAAATATTTTTTGTTTAGTTGTTGATGAACCTTTATTTTTTTTATTTGTATATGGTGCTGAGAGTCGAACCCAGTGCTTGACACATGCTAGGCAAGTGCTCTTCCTCTGAGCTACAACCCCAGCCCAATACTCTTTGAGATCAATGAATTGATAATAATTCATTCATAACAATTCATCATATAACATTTGATATTGATGTTTTAATACCAATATCATTGACACAGATTTATCAGTATTGATTCAGTGATATAGATTCCCTGATGGAGATTCATTGATATCATTTCATTGATATAGATTCATTCATGGATATTGATAAATCAATATAAATTCATTAATATTGATTCATTGATATGATACTTCATTACACCTTCAGTGATATTGATTCATTGATATATACTCATTGGTGTAGATTAATTGATATCAATTCTTCAATATCTCATTTCATTGATATGGATTTATTGATAACCATGCATTGATATAAATTCATCAAAGTCAAATCTTCAATTTAGATTCATCAATATAGAATCATGGATGTAGATGCCACATGGTCTGCATGGTGACTGCTATGAAGAGATGTTCCACCAATGGCAGCTCACCATAATCTTGGGAGTGCTGTATGAATGCAATGAATAAATCTTTGAAAAGCAGCAAAGAAGGGGGCCTGGCACTTAGGTGGCACTCTCAAGGTGGCTGTTATACCAGTATTGAGTTCCAACTTCTTTCTGATAAACTCATTTGTTTAACCCTCTGCAGCCATGTTGATTCCATTTGATGGACTGTGACCCTGCACCTCCATTTGAGTAAGTGACCATGCACTGAGCAGTGAGATGCTCTTTGGAAAGCAAACAGATGTCCTCTCTGACAAGGGTAGGTCATAGAGCCAGGCCCCTTACTTTCCTGGCTTTCATTCATGGCCAAGCACCACCTGCTCTCATGGAGCAGGCTTGGGGGTTAGATATTATGTCTCTTGGGTTAGACTGTATTTTTGCTCATGATGTTCTTTTATGGTGCATTAGGATCAATACCTTGTGTGCCCTCCTCACCCAGGCATTACAGAGCCACTAGCATGTCTATTGCTGACAGGCATCAGGCTTTGAGCCCACCCAGTTTCCCCATGGTAACAGGTCTCTCAAGTAGCCCTGGCTCCATACCAAGACTGTTTTGCCCCAGTGTTGAAAAAGCTACATTTGTGAGAATAAAGTTTCCCAGGATGTGGAGCTGGCTTCTTTTCCGTTTCCCCAAACCTAGGTTCCCACCCTAAGATTGACATACCCCATCGGTGAGCCTGCTAATCAGTGAAGACCAGATCCCCTGGCGCTCTTTCCAGGAAATGCTTCCTGCAGATTTTCATCCAACAAATAATTTGCTTGCTCTTGCTGAAAGCAAGGCTGGATGTTGGATGCTCATTTGGGGTATATTCATGTTTACCTGTTGGGAATCAGTGTGGCCAGCACAGGCCAGCTGTGAAAACCCACAGTCCTTGGCACTTTCCATTCTGGACATGTTTTTCAATTGCAGCTCCCCATCTCAGAGAAAAACCTTTACCTGAAAGATTTTCTGGCCACCAGGCTCCTTCTTCCCATCAGTGAGGCATGTTGGAAGTGTCAGGAAATCAGCATCTCCCTGGAGCATGGCTGACAGTGTTGGTGTATAAATACCCAGCTCCCTTGCACCTCAGGTGAGCTAGGTCTGAAATGTGCATGCTTTGCACAGCCCCTCAGGGGTCCCCAAGAAGATTAGGCACAGTTTCCCCTCATGGAAACATGCTTGATAATATCCCTCTATTCTTGATCTTTACTACCCTGTCTCACTTGACCTCCCTGATACCCATGCTTCTTAGAAGCACTCCTAAATTATCAACTTACACTGGGGCCCTTATCTGAGGAAATCCTGATGAAGCAGTGTATTTAGAACAGGGCTTCTCCACCTTAGCATTGCTGTTGTGATGGCTGGAAGCATCTTTCATAGGATGGGGTTGTCCTGTGCATGGAAGGATGCCTGAGCAGTGTATCAGGGCTCTACCCGTTGTGGCTAAGTAGCAAAGCTTTCATGTTCCTCCAA